ATCATGTCTTTTGCGACGTCAACACGGTCTCTTTTTTGCATGAAATTGTGGTCTTTTTGCACCAACTTTGCTGCTACACGACGGAAACCCAAATCATTAACCAAAATGTCTGGGACGGATCCATAGGTATGCTCAAGTCCTCCGCTATTTCTCTGATGGTTAATTTGCGGTTATTGACCAACATTTCTTTTATTTTTTCAGTGTTTTTGTCGGTTTTCGATGTCGATGGTCTGCCGCTGCGTTCATCATCTATAATTGATTGACGACCACTTTTGAACCGCTCGTGCCACTGATAAACGACAATTTTCTTTAGAGAATCGTTGCCAAAACACTTTTCTAACATTTAAAACGTTCGCGCACCATTAAATTTGTTTTTTACACAAAATTTAATACAAGTTCGTTGTTGCAAATTTAAATCCATTTCTAAAATTGGGCCAGGGGGGTTACGGTAGGTCAGGCGTGACGTCACCATGACGGACGACATCTCGCCTGTACACCCATTGTTTTCCTCGAGAACAATAAATGACGTAATTAGTCGGCACCTTTGAGAGCCCGTACCTGCCATTTATTTACTACTGTTAAATCAATAACATCCATAATAAATGTGAAAAAAAATTCTATGATTTTAAATTGAATAGAAATAAACATCAGAATAGCAAATTCTAACTCCTAACATGTAAAATAAATTATTATTTATTTAAATAAAGTAATTGGAGGTTGAACATTTATTAATTAAATATTTAGTTTTTATATAATTATATTAAAAAAAAAAAAAACAAATTCTCTTTAAAAGAGACATATTATAATAAATGTTTTTACGCTAAAAAATTAATTTCTTTCAATAATAATATCAACAAAACAAACTAAATTAATTAAATTTAAATTGAAATATTTTAAATTGCAGTGATGGGGTAAACTTCAATTTATAATATGAAAATTTAATTATTAATTTTATTTGAATTAACTATTCTTCGTTAATTATTTCTAAATGTATATCAAAGTCAAAAATGAATGTTACATTAATTGTTATGGTTACCAAATATGAAACTATACAATTTTTTAGCATGAAAACTTTAAATGATAATTAATCTATAAAAATACAACTCAACATTACACTATACGTGTAATTTTTTAGCTTCGATGCGAAGCTGAGAAGGTATTGGTTTTACTAAGATGTGTTTTTTTTTTTTTTTTTTTTCTGTAGTCTGTATTGACGACTTTATCCATGAAATCTGCCACGACAACGTGCTATGNTTTGTGTCTGTTACCACTTTTTCTCAGCTCTCACCGAACCGATTTCTTTCAATGATACGTCAAAAGATCACAAATCGTATCTAGTCGAAGACATTACCCTTAAAAATTGAAAAAAATTCCCTCGTTCCCCGTAAATGGGGGAAACCTCCAAAAAAATTACAAATTTAAGAATCGCTAATTTTCGATATTTTTTCAATTTTTTTTACTTAAAAGTGCTATAACTTATTGAAAAGTGTATTGATCAATATAATTTTTTTATGGGAAATTCTATTTTTTAATAATCCCTTTTTCATTCGACATACTTTATCTTAATCAGGATATTAATAAGGAACTAGCAGTTTATGAAGCTTTTGGAATANGGATATTAATAAGGAACTAGCAGATTATGTAGCTTTTGGAATCGTCCACCAATTTTTTAAAATTAAACACTATTTAAAGGTTTGCATCGCAGCGTTTTTTTTTTTTGATAGTGATTTTAATCACTGTCAGATATCATTATACTTGATCCAACTAGGCCACGTCACCACTGTGCCGCGCCCCCCCGTGCTGGGTTTTTTTAACTGTACGCCAAATAAAAATATAGGAGTAAAAATATTTCCATAGTGCAAATGATCATAGTACACTACAGCCTTTTTATAACTTAAAATATAAGCTTAGTCTTAGGACCTCACTCTAATCCTAGTTGTGTCACTGGCAAGTGTAGTTTCCTTTAACACACTTAAAACTCTAGCGTAAAGCACGTTGCAGTATTTTAGACATCTATAAGATAATTGAAATAAAAAATCAATATTAAAATAAAAATCTAACTATAATGTTTCTATACATCCGTGTAATTTATTATTTTATTTAAAGATATATATATATATTTTAAAGCTAAAATTATGTCTTTTGTTTATAACATAAGAAAATAATTTATATAACTTTATTGATATTTCGAATTTCCAATGAAATATTTCACTTACAATTTAATTTTCAAATATTAATTTCATTATTTTAAGATTTTTTTTTGTGTGTGTCGTCTGTTTTTTTCAAGGATACGTTAAAATATTACATTACAGGACAATCAATTTTTAACTTCATCATTTGACGGTTTAATTATGTGCTCAGTAATTATTTTATTATGAAAATAAATCGTTGGTTGTAGAAATTCCGTTAACGAATTCGGATTAGTATATATTTTTGATTCAGCATCATCATTAGAATTATAAAAAATCATCCACGATTTAATTGCTTCCTCTAGTTCGTCATCAAAAGAATTTATTATAGATGTTCCTAATAATTCAAAATTTAATTTTTTGATATCAATAAATAATAAATTGTAAATGTATTCTTCAAATTTTTCTAAAATATTAATAATGATATCCATTATTTCTTCTTCGTTATTTATTGGAAATAAAATTACAGTATTCATAAAATTCTTTAAATCAGAAATATCTATTTGGTGATGTTCCATGAACGTGATAATACTTTGGAGAGGATTAATAATTATTTTTTTAATATTAAATGGTGAGTCAAATATTTTATGTATTTCTATATCACTCTTAAATATTATGCGTATACAATAATTTACCAACAAATATAATAATTTATATGATCTGATTTTCATGACCAAGTAATATTGCTCATCGGTAATATAACAATCGTTTACTTCACCTAAAATAATATAATTAGGAACACTAAATATTACTTCTGTCTTTATAAGTTCTCCATTGGGATATTTATGCCAATCAAACGCATTAGAAAAACGACAATAAACTGTAAAAATTATTATTGAACACAATGTTGATTTCATCTTGGTAAAATTTCTTGACGCCACTTGCAGGATAATTAACAGTCATCAAATAAAATAACTCAAATGATAATCTAAATCTAAAAACCAAACCTAACTTTATATACTAAATATAAATCAATAAAATTTTGCTTAAAAAAATTTAATATTGTAAGTTATTTGTAAATTATTTTAAATATATTTACCAAACAATGAGAAATTTACAAAAATAAATTATATATTATATATTGTTGTGCAGCTAAAGGTTTTGTCTAAAGCGTGTTTAAATAAATCAATTTATTTTTTTAATAGCTAAAAGATAACTGAAAACTTTTTAATATCCAATTTTTAGCTCCAATGCAAACCCCTGAAACTTTGTTTTTAATTAAATACCAAGAAATTGTTAATTTTACCATGATGTATCTTTTTGCGAAGCTGAGAAGGTATTAATTTTACTATAATGTTTTTTTTTTTTGTGCCTGTTACCACTTTTTCTCAGCTCTCACCGAACCGATTTCTTTCAATGATACGTCAAAAGATCACAAATCGTATCTAGTCGAAGACATTACCCTCAAAAATTGATAAAATTTCCCACGTTCCTCGTAAATGGGAGGACACGTCTAAACAAATTACAAATTTAAAAATCGCTATATTTCAAAATTTTTTTACTAAAAAGTGCCATAACTTTTTTAAAAATGAACATATCAATAATTTTTTTTTTATAAATACTTGATGTCTTTACCTAACATTTGATATATTTTTTTTATAAATTTGACCCTAGACCTCTTCACAGGAAGGGATTCAAAATGACAATTTTTTCACAAAAAATTAACTTTTTCAACTTAACTATTGAGTGTTCCGGAAAGTCTGACAGTTTTATATATATCTTAAATTAAAGCTAATATAATATACTTTGTCATGAAAAAAAAAATTGCGGACTTTATTTTATCTTCATACTTTATGCTATTTTTGTGTGAAAATTTTCAATTTTGTATTTTACATTTTTAATTTTTTTATGCTATAACTATTTAAAAAATGTATGGATCAATACAATTTTTTCATGAGAAGTAGTATTTATATACATCTTTCATTCGACTTACTGTTTTTTTATATCGGATCATTTACCTATTTATGAGGGGGGTTAAAATCTAAAAATTGCTTGTAGAAAGTAGAACATTTTCAATTTAACTTTTAAAAGTGTTCCGGAAAGTCTGACACTTTTATATATATCTTAAATTAAAGCTAATGTAATCTACTTTATTATGTAAAAAAAAAATTTCGGACTTTATTTTGTCTTCACGATGAAAATGGCTACCAAATGCTATTATTGTGTGAAAATTCTCAATTTTATTTTTTACATTTTTAACTTTATAATGATATAACTTATTGAAAAGTGTATTGATCAATACAAATTTTTTATAAGAAATACTATTTGTATATCTAGTTCATTCGACATACTTTATCTTAATCAGGATATTAATAAGGAACTAGCAGATCATGTAGCATTTGGAATAATACACCAATTTTTTAAAATTAAATACTATTTAAAGATTTTCATCGAAGCGTTTTTTTTTTTGATAGTGATTTTAATCACTGTCAGATATTTATACTTTATCCAACTATGCCACGTCACCACTGTGCCACGACCCTCCTGTGCTGGGTTTTTTATTTTTTTCTATTTCTAAATTAAATGTTTGATTTTTAATTGTATGCCAAAAGGTTGGTAGAGTAAAAATATTTCTATAGTAGAGATGTTAATAATGCCTTTATACAACATATAATAGAGGCCTAGTCCTTAGGGCATCACTCAAAAAATATTATTTGCTAGTATTCTCTCCAGCACTCTAGAATTCGCCAGCATAGTTCCGTTTAGAAATAGCACACTTATAAAATTCTAGGGATATATCACGTTGCAGTATTTTTAGTCATCTGCAATATTATTGAAATAGTACAACATTAAAATAAAAAGCCAATTAAAATTGTTCAATAGATTCACATAAATTATTATTTTAATTAATTTCACTTACATATATTTTAAGAATAAAATTAAATCCTTGGTTTATTACATAAGAGAGAACTTTTTAACATTTAAAATTTCAAATGAAATATTTCACTTACATTTTATGTTTTAAAATATTAATTGTATTATTGTAAGATTATTTTTTTCTGTGTTGTTCTGTTTTTTTTTTCAAGGATATGTCAAAATGTTACATTACAGCACATTTTATTTTTTTATTAACTTCTTTTGACGGCATAATTATGTACTCAGTATTTATTTTATTATAAAAATAAATCGTTGGTTGAATACAATCCATTGAAAAATTTGGAGGAATATAGTTTTTTGATTCTTCATCAACCTTAAAATTATCAAACATTTTCCACGAATCAATTGCTTGTTTTAGCATGCTATCAAAAAAAATGGTTTTAGGTTTTTTTAATAATACAAAATTGAATTTTTTTATATCATCAATTAATAAATCATAAATACGTGTTTTTAATCTGTATAATAAATCAGAATAATGATTTTTAAAATTGTTCAATAAATAAGAAATGGAATACGACTTTTCTATGGGATGTATTTGACAACAAATTATATCGCGAATATTAAACTCTAAATTAAAAACATTTATTTGGTGATATTTCATGAATTTAATCATATTTTCTAGTGGTTCCATAATTATACTATCAATTTTAATTCTTGAGTTTTTGTATTTTTCTATATTTTTATCATTTATTGCATTTTGAGAAAAAATTACCAACATATATAATAATTTATACGACCTGATTTTCAAGGCTAAGTGATATTGTTCCTTAGTAATATTACCTTTGTTTATTTCTCCTAAGATAACATTTTTGGGAAAACAAAATATTAATTCTGACTTTAAAATGTCTCCATTGGGATATTTATCCCAATCAAACGCATTGGAAAAACGACAATAAACTGTAAGAATTATGATTGAACACAATATGGATTTCATCATGGTTAAATTTCTTGACGTCACTTGCAGGATAATTAACAGTCGTTAGATAAAATATTTCAAATGATAATTTAAATAATATCATACGATTTTGATAACTATATATACTTAATATAAAATAATAAATGAATGCTAAAAAAAAATATAATATAGTAATGTTTGCTAACTTTTTGTGAAAATAATTTTAAACATACTAATTAAACAATGAAAAATTTTCAAAAATAATTTATAAATTATATATTGTAGTACAGCTCAAGGTTTAATATATAAGTTTTTTATGGCTCATTGTTAAGAAACCACAATGGTTTCTGAACTATGTATACTTTGAGATGGTTTATTAGACTATGGCCAGAGAGATTGCTACCCCAATCACTAAACTGATAATTCGTTTAGAAACAGAGCCGCTTGTGACTGAGACTCAAATGCGAGACGGTGCGAATCAAACACTGCTGCGTTACCCAATGTGCCCATCGTCTCTCTATACTTGGGCCGCTATTCTAAAAATATTAGATTTTATAAATAATATTTGTAAAATTGGTCAAAATAACATCTTTAACATAAATAATCAAGAATACGTAGGTATAATGAGTTTTATTTTAAAGTTGATTTAGGTTCAAATTTTTTTTAATAAATCGTGACAATATTGTTTACATTATTACTATAGTAAATTTATTTGAAAAACTACCAACAAAATTTTTTTTTTAATAAATGAGAAAAAAATTTACAATTATTCAATATTGTCAATAATATCAGTAATTGTAAGTGTGCTATCGTAACTCAAAACTCTATAATATAGAGTAGTTAAAGACTTGTTTAATTAATTTAATATAAAAGATTAAAATAAGAAAATTGAAAGGTGTGTTGAATAAAGTGAGAGTTACTTTCATTCTGGGTTTGATTTGAGGGTTATAGAATAATATAAGTCTATAATATAACTATTATTAATTTGAAATATTACTTGACAATTTTTCTTTGTCTTAAAATTACTTCAGTGTCAGTATTAAGTAAAAATTGATAAATAAAATAACGCAACACTGACATTTAGTTCACAAATTTAACACTTAAGAATTCCAACAATGAAATTCACAAATTTTACATGACGTTGTTGAGAGTGCTATTAAATTAGACCAGACTGTGTGATGTAGCTTTGCCTTTTATAATACTTTGTATCCCCAAAAATTATTATTGTCTTATTCTTACAATGTTATTGTTTATTCATGAGTAAGCATAATATATATATATATATATATATATATATATATATATATGAATTATTACAGATGAATAGTGTACAAATCATTTTAACCTTTTATATAACGTTAATATAGTTTTTTATACTCAATATTGGGGTTGACACATTGCTTTTAATTATTAAGATAAGAATAATAAAAAGAGATGAAAGTATAATTAATAGATTTCTTTTCGATAAAGAATGATTTCAAAATAGACTAATTGATTTACGACTGAAATATGTGTAATATAATGAGATGAATAATTACAATTAATGTATAAATAAAAGAGTTGGTTATCTTAATTAAAAAGGTTTAATGAAAGACCATTATTGTAGACACAAATAGGGTAGCTTACTGTTATACCATATTATGATAGTGAAGAGTACATTATATAAACTTTTATATGCAGAACTTTTCTATATAGAATAGTATATTTTAATCTTTAAATTTTCTTAATAATACCACAAATGATTACAACTCGTATCTAGTATAAGATATTAACTTTATAGGTTGAACAAGATTTATTTTAAAAATATCATTTTTAATATTCGAATTTAAATTATTAATTAGTTTACTTGAACTGGGATAACGCGATAGATGATCCGCGGCCCTATTAAAAATATCTTTTTTATATTTTACTTCAAAATCATAGCCAATTAATTTCGTTCTTATTCTGTTTACAACCTTAGATTCAGTTTTTATATTCATAAAGTTTGTTAAATTTTTATGATCAGTCCAAATCTCGATTTTCCTATCGTGAACATATTGCCTATAATGAGTAAACGCGAAATTAATAGCTAAAACCTCGAGTTCCATTGCGGAATAGTTGGACTCCGCGGGCGTTAACTTTTTAGACACGTAAGAAATTGGATGAATTTCGTTATTATCGTCGCGTTGCTGCAGGATAACACCTAGACCTAATTTACTAACATCTGTTACTAGTAGAGTTTCCAAATTTACGTTAAAATGCGTGAGAAGTGGAGGTGTCGTAAGTTTAGACTTTAGCTCTTTAAATGCTGTTTCATGTTTAGCAAACCATTTAATTTTTCACTTTATGTTTTAAATTTACCCTTAGTCAGATCTGTAAGAGGTTTCGCCAGTTTACTAAAGTTGGGAATAAATTTTTTGAAATAATTGAAAAAACTACGAAGTTGTTTAATAGTGTTTGGGGAAGGAAATTTTTTACCAATTCAATGCCCTAATCGGTTGGCCTAATGCCTTTCGACTTTATGATATTACAGAGTACTTGTATCTCTTCGTATCCGAATTTACATTTTGATGGCTTCAATTTTAGATTATACTGTCAAAATCTCTGTTATGTTATGGATAATAAATATAAATATTGATCGAAAGATTTTCCAAAAACTGTGCAATCATCTAAGTAGCAAATATTGTTTTTATAAGTAAGACCTCCCATAATTTTGCACATAGCGGCCTGATATATTGCTGGAGCATCATCCCAATGGAAGTCTTTTGAATTGAAAATGTCCCGTATCAGTAGAAAAAGCTGTATATTGTCGAGAATTTTTAGAAAGTTTGAATTGATAAAAACCACTGGACGCGTCTAATAATGAAAAATAGTGGTTACCAGCTAAGCAGTCATATATATTTTGAATTATCGGCATGGGAAAACTTTTTTTTAATAAAATCGAATTTAAATTTCTATAATTTAAAACGAGCGATACTCCTTAGGGGTGGCTTCTGTTTTGTGGCCCTGTGGGAGGTTTTTCCCTACTAAAAATACCGGATTACTATATGGACTATTTGACGGTTCTATTATGCCGGCCTTTAATAATTCGTCTTTAATTCTAAGTCGAATTTAGTCTTTGAAAAAATGTCATTATAATTATTCAGCAACGTTTCAAGTTTTCGTTTTTTATCGTGAGATAAGGACGGGTTAATGTCGAATTCGTGTGAAACGTCTGCTAGAGAAGATATTGTTTTTTTTTCCACGAAACATGTTTCGTTAACCTGAGATTCAAAGTGTACGTCTGGTGTTGACGCATCGTTTTGTTTGAAGTGTTCGGTGAAATCATAATTTTTTTGTCTGGAGTTCAGAATTTTACGACTGTCGGCGACTGAAATATTGTCATTAATATGCACAATTGTTTTAATATTAAAATTAACACTAGAATTTTTTACGTATTCTAATGGAGACCAATGACAGTGGGAAAATAAAACAAACACGTTATCTCGATCGAATTCTGTGAATGCGATGATGTTTACGTCCGAACGATTGTTATCATGGGAAAGTACAATTAAATTTTTATTGTAATATGACGCGACGGCTGCTAGATCTTCTGCCTCAAACCAGACAGGCTGACCTGCAGAATATACGCCTAGTAATACTTGAATATCATGAAAATTAACATTAATATTTTTATTTTTCAATACCTCTACTAATGTATTTACGCCGCAAAATCCGTCTCGTGGGATATTTTTTGAAACCTGCATACGCGTCGCTGTGGACTCAATGGAAACATTAATTGATTCTTTATGTGAAAGAATATGATTTACGATATTTCTAGAATTGAATTTTTCGAAGAGTACGGTCACCCTGTGTGGTCCGTCAAATAAAACAATTTTCAAATCATACATATCAATGGTAGCCTTATAGTTTTGCAGAAAATTATTACCTAACAAGCTATTAGCTTTTAGATTTTTGACTACCGCGCAATCAATAGAAAATAAATGGTCATAAAATGTTATCTCTATTGCTGTTTTCCCTATTAAATCTAGTAGTGAACCGTTTACTGTAGTAAGAGTCGTATTTTGAACCGGAATAATATTGTGATTTTTAGAAATTAGATTATCGATTATTATACTAATAGATTCTCCCGTATCGATAAGAAATTTTACATTAGAATTATATAATTTTCCTAATATTATTGGTTCAATATCCGACTGTCTATTAGAAAAAATATTCGCACAACGTGTAACACCCGTGATATTTAAATTATTTTGCGTTTGATTTTCATTATTATTGTTATTGGGAACCGGAAATTTTTGTTAGGCTGCGCAGGGATGTCAAAATTTGTCCTAACCACCGATTTTTTTGCGGCTGTCTTTGCCTAGAGGCCCCCATATTTAACTGTTGACCATGATTTTGCCTACTGTAATTGTTTTGTTGGCCACCTTTATTATCGTTAAAATTTGCGCTTGGATTATTATTCAAAAATCTAGCACTGTTATTGAAATTGTTATTATTCCTATAATTACTATTGTTTCTTTCTACACAATTATTATTATTATTGATGTTATTGCTATTGTAGTCTCTATAATTGTTTTTGTTATTATAATCATTGTCAATATAATTTTTCCCAAAATTACCAATATTGTTATAGTTTTGATTTGTATAATTATTTTTGTTTTTGTATCCCATATTACCTTTATTAAAATATGTATTATTATTTTTATTATGAATTGGATTTCATTTATTTACTTTTGCATATTTATTATTGAATCTTGGTGTACGGTTAACCGTTAGTGTTAAAAAATCTATTTGCTTTTGCATTTTGTCTTTATCATTCATTTCCGTTAGCCCTGCATTCCTCTATAGTCTATTGATATTTTCCTCAAGTGCTACAAGTGAATCTAAGTCCATTGTTCTTAACTCTTTAACAATTTCTTCCGGTAAACCTTTCAAAATATACCTTATTACCTCCCTTTCTGTCATATTTTTATCTATTTTCCTGCACAATTCTTTTGTTTTTAGCAAATACTCCTGTACTGTCTCAGAATCACTCTTTCTCCTAGATTCTAAACTTTGACGTTTCATTCGAAGTCGTGCGTCTGAATTATAAAACTTTATCATTATATTTTTTGCCTCATGCCAATTTAAGTTTGGGTTTTCGGATTCGATAGCCTCAAAAACCGTTTGCTCTGTGTCACATAATAAAAGGGGCAACGTTATTAATTTCTCCACGTCACCCCACCTATTAGCGGATGCTACCCTTTTGATATTAACGAAGAATCTATCCGCGTCCTCTGTTAAGTTCTCTGAAAATGTTTAGGGTGTTCAAATTGCGTTTATGGCCATAGTAGTTATTATTTTAACTGTTTCATTTTCTAAAAGAAGTATAATAAATTTATACTAAAAAAAAAAAATATAATAAAATTAATGTTTGCGAACTTTTTGTGGAAATAAATTTAAATATACTAACCAAACAATGAAAAATTTACGAAAATAATTTCTATATTATATATTGTTTATAGTTGCTCAAGGTTTATTGTCATAAACCTGTTTAAAGAAATTAATTTATTTCTACAATAGCTGAAGAAAAACATGACGAAAAATTAACTTTGAAATTTTAAGTATTATTCAAACGAGGAGGTTAATATTTCCTCCCCTAATACTACCTCCATTAGTACTTCCCTCATTCAAATATACCCTCTAGGTATTTGAATAAAAATGAAATGGGCATGTGTGTTTTTTTTGTTATTCCTTTATATAGAATGATTTGCTCAAAATTAGATGAAGTAACATGAAAAAGTAAAAACTAATCCTAATATTTATCCGGCTGCATGCCATTTGGGATCATCGGATCGATTTCCCCATTTTGATCATTTTAATATCTAATTTTAAGATTTGATGCGGAGCCAAGAAAGTATTAATATTAACATGATGTATTTTTCTTTGTCTATCCGTGAAAATTCTTAGCATTAACAAGACTGATTTTGTTGATCTATGCGTAAAAAAAATCTGAGATTATTCCACTAAACTCGAGATATTTAAAATCTTTTCATCATAAACCATTAATATAATATAGATATGAAGAACACAGACGTTCTGGAAAATTTTCCAAAATTAAAAATAATGTAAATTTTTTAAAAAATTGTGAATTTTATTTTAATTAATAACAATATAATTTTAATTACATTTAAATTTATTTAAAATTG